GAGCACATGGTTTAAGTTTCCAGATTTAGAATTTTAAGGCACATCAGAGGCCGCTTGGTTCAATTAACTCATTTTGGATATATGGGAAAAGAGGCCCATAGAGGTTGTGACAACCTTTGCTCAAGGTCAGATGGTAGTAGTTAGGTGATTCACAGAGAGATATGAAGTAGCCAGGCTTGGTCAGGGTCCATAAAAATATCAAAGTTCCAGGGCATCTAGGTGGCACAGTGGACAGAGCACTGGCCCTGGAGTCAGGAGGACCTGGGTTCAAATCTGACCTCAGAAACTTAATACTTACTAGCTGGGTGACCTTGGGCAAGTCACTTAACCCCATTGCCTACCAAAAACAACAACAGCAACAAAATCAAAGTTCCAGTACACAGGAAAGCTAATAGAGATGAGGAAGGATGAATGCCATATCCAATTAATATAAATATTCAATTAATATTTAGATTTCAGTCCCCTAAAATCTCAGGCATTTTTTTCATATAAACTGTTGAGATATGACTTCTTTATCCTATATTTTTTTCAGTTAATTTTTAAAACTCAAATTAAAACTTCACGTTTATCCATGCTAAATGTCATTTTATTTGATTCTGCCCATTGTTCTAGCTTACAGTGATTTTTTTTTTGGATACAGGTTGCATCAACCAGGATGTTAGCTATCCCTGCCAACATCATCCCATCTGCAAATTTGGCAAGCATGCTACAGGCACCTTCTCTAAGTCATTTATAAGAATGTTGAAGAACAGAAATCTAAGGATGTATCCCTGAGGCACCTCACTACATATCTTCCTCCAAGTTAAAATATACATAGAGATCACTGCTTTAGAGGGGACAGGTCATTCAACCAGCTTGACAGAATGACCTCGCCCCCCCCCCTCTCTCTCCCCATCTCTCTATCTCTCCATATCTCTCTCTCTGTCTCTCTCTGTCTCTCTGTCTCTCTCTCTCTCATATAAATATGTGTTGTGTGTGTGTATGTATATATGTATGTATATGTATATATACACATGCATATATGTTTATATGTATATACACATATATATGTCATTTTATGAAACATATACATATTCTATGTCATATTATTCATCCTGAGCCATCTCCAGTTGCTCTGACCTATATCTCGCCATTGAACCCTGATGGATCTGGAGGAGAAAGTGAGACTGGTGACTTTGCACAGCCCACCCTCACTTAAATCCAATTCACTTGCAAAGTCATGACAACATCTTCCTGTTGTCATGGTCCTTTTTGAGACAGAAGGACCAACCACACAAGGTACTTCTATGGAATCAAAGGGTGTGCGTGAATTTAACTTTAATCTATGAGATAAACGAAAAACTTCTTTCTTGCTAGAACCATCAACTTTTATTTCATGAAGAAGTATCATAAAGAAAACCTTATGAGAAGTGAATCTGGAGAGAGACTATTACAAGTGAGGGCTTATGAGAAGCTGAATGAAGACTGTGCTTTCTGATCATGGTTAGAGATAACTAGACAAAGAAAGATTTTTTTTTAATTTATGAAACTATCATAAATTTTGTCTTAGGAGGATAGAGAGGATTCTTATAAAGAAGAATTCGCTATCCTCAATGTACTAAATGGTGTGGGACTTTTCAAAGGTGAAATCATTACAACGGAGATCAGCTCTGGTGGCTCTGACTGTGAACTCTCTCAGAGCTAAAGTAAATTATGTAAATTATGTAAAAGTAAATCCATGTCATTTTCTATTGTTGACCTCATTATTGTAAATTCAGTAACTTTAGGAGATTAAATATAAAGACAGATGTTATTATGTGCAATTGAAATAGTACATTTCTCTGATTTGTTAAATAAATAATGTCATGTAATGGTGTTGGAGCACGTTTCTTGTCAAAAGGACTAGGTGTTTCTGTGTCTGGATATGTGAGTGTGTGTTGGCAGCCAGAAGTGTCCTAGCCATCCCTAAATGGAACTTGGAACACTGTCATTTTACGATATATATACATATTTTTTCAGTGTTTTTTTTTTTCATTGAAGCAATGACATAAATAGGGGTTGTATTCTATCATCCGATATTTCAAACTCTTCCACGACTGGACTCTGTGACCTTCTGTTGTTCTTTGACCTCTAAGAGCCTAATCCCCATAGAAAACACTTACACCAGAAATACTTTAAGTGTATTTCAGAATAACAATACTAGCACTATTTATCTAGAAATCCTTCGTGAGAAAACTACTTTGAAATCAATCAAGTTTTTATTAAGTGTTTACAGGTTCTGTGCTAAGTTTGGGTACAAAGCAAAACAAAACAAAACAAAAAGAGTCTTCCTGCTCAAGGATCTTGCATCCTGATGGATACACGTATTATATATGTAGGTGTATACGTGATACCTGCAAAGTAGATTTGAGGCAGCATTAGGAATAAAGAGACTAGCCTCTGGGGGCTGTGGGGTAGGATGGGGGAGAGATAGGAAAGGCCTCCTGCAGAAGATGGCACTAGAGTTGAAGGAAGCCAGAGATTTTAAGAGATAATGGTGAAGTAGGAAAACATTCTACACATAGAAAATCACTTTGTAAAACTTAAAACAGAATTTAGCTCATCAGTTCTGTAAAAACACAGTTTTAAGTAAAAAACATTGCAGGAGGTTGTTTTCTACAGCAACAATCTTCCCTTCTTTAAACTTTCCTAGATCACTTTCATAGAAGAGCACTCCTTTGCCCTGTCACATTCAAATTATTGTAGTTATGCAGGTGTAGATGATCAGGTCTTTGAGGTCTGGGCTTGTGTCCTTTGTTTTTGTTTTTGTGTTCTTAACACCAAGCACAGAGTAAGTATTTAATAGAATTTCAATTTGAATATGAAGCAGGTTAAAGGATTTAGGTGGGAAAAGCCTGGAATAGAGTCTCACAGTAGACAATAAATGTTCATTGATCTGATTTGAGTTGAATTGAGTCAGTGGAAGATATACCTCTTAGCAGGCAAAATTAAGACAAAAACGTATTTTTTAGAGATGCAGAGAATAATAGAGCTTGGGGGGGGGGGGGTAAGGCTAGACTCTTTGGATAAATGAATAAGTTCCAGGTTTGGAGATGTGGCACTTCAGGTCATCAGAGGAACCCCTGAGGTTTGACTGACTCCCAGTAAAGAAGGAGAAAAAGAGATAGAAGAAGAGGGGAGTATCAGGCTCAATACCAAGGAGAGACTTCAGGGAAATCCCAGAAGGGAGCTATAAAGAAAGGCTAATTATTTGCTCCCTAAGAATCTCCTGACAATTGGTATAGGATCTAACCAGGTCTGTGGGCTTCTTGCTGATGAGTTTAGGCGATGGTTTTTTGTTTTTTTTTGAAATTAGAATTCTATAGCTAGGTAAGGTATGATTCATCTCGCAGGAGAACAAAGCAAAGGGAAAATGTTGAACTTCAAGAAGTGGTTTTAAAACTTTTTTGGCTCATAGCACAATACTCTTTATAGGGCAAACTGAATGTTTAATTTAGCAACAAAGATATATTCCAAGGCAACCAGGCTTCAAGACCCATTTGCTGGACCTTGAGATTCCTGTCTTTCCTTCCCTTTTACCATTCACTCACCTTTTCTTTCTTCCCTTCCCCCAGATTTGCAACAGATGAGACAGTTTTTCACCTCCATTGTGACTGTCCTGAAACAAAGATGTAAAGAGAAGGCAGCCAACTGCAGCTAGAGGGATTGGTGAGGACATGTGGAAGTATCAGGTGGGAGGTGTAGGGGAAAGTTTGATAGCACAGCTAGGAAAACCTGCCCACAGGACTTCCTGTGCTTTATAGATTTCATAAAAGACACTTCTTTATCCCATTCCTTGACTTAGTTATTATATTAGGGCTTAGTTATTTTGGGAAAAAATCATTTTGGTCAAGCCAATTTTGTATGAGTTATGCTTGTACGTTTATTCCCAGGTTTATTTTTTAAAGAGAGAATTTAAATGAATCAGAACATCTGAGTTCCAGTCTCAATTCTTCCACTCACTAGCTGCTTTACTGGCTATCTGAATCTTCATTTCTTAATCAGTGTAATGGGAATAATCCATGCCTTAACTATTTCAAAGAGTTGTTTTGAATATTAGATGATGTTATAAATATGAAAACATTTTTTAAACTATAAGACAATATACAAAAATAAAGTGTGGTTATGACTGCCTGTAAAATACTTCACTTTACTCCAATGTGTTGACATCATAGTCATCCTTCAAGGCCCAACTCAAATGTCACTTCCTTCATGAAGCTTTCTTGATATTGACATGACTACCCCTTCACAAATACACTGGTCCTACTCTTGTGTATGTTCTTTTTTTTTAAGAGGAATTTTTTCATTGAATTTTTCTTTTCAATCTTCCCAATTGAAAATAATCTATCTTTTCTCTTCATTTTTTGTATCTTTTTTATGACACTTAGCACATCTGACCTTGAAATGTGGTTATTTTTCTGCATGTCTTATCCCTTCCATTAAACTATAAGTCTGGTGAGAACAAGGACTGTGCCCTACTTTCTATCCCTTTCACTAGGCCTTAATCACGAAAAGGTATTTATAGAGATAAATCCACCTTTTTTAAAAACTAATAATAGTGACTCACGCTTACATAGTACATTAATGTTTGTGAAATTTTATTCATGATGAAATTGGGGGTCAGAGAAGTTGATCAACCACAATTACATAGTGTCAGCTCATCACTCTTTCTAATAGGCCAAGAATGAGTAAATAGATGGATGAATGAATGGATGGATGGGTGGATAGATGGATGGATGGATGCATGATCATTGCCATTGTCACTGAAGTTCATCATAGTAAATTTTGATCGAAATACTCTGAATAAAATTACAACCACAGTTAATGGGAGGGGCAGCAAAAGAAAGGGCTAGAGTATAACCAAGGAAGTAGAATATCAAATTTCATGTGCTCGGAAACAAACTTGGCAAAAGCTTCCCCCAAAACACTGCCAATCTGTTTTTAGAGAGGCTGAATTGAATTTTATTGTGAACCTAGGCTAGTTGTCCTTTATCTTTTTCCAATTTCAATTTTGGACTTGGATAGTTACTGGGAGCTCTTGATCCTCAATCAACAACAAAAGCACCTTCATCAAGGAAGCTAAGAAGCAACTATGAGGTAAGTAATATTCATCTTGATTTTTCAGGTGAACCATGGATGGCAGTGGAAATTGACTTGGAAAGAATCATCTTATTGTCTACTGCAGGGATTCTTAACCTGGAATCTCTGAATATTTGTAAAAAAAATTGATAACTATTTCAATATAATTGGTTTCCTTTCTACTCCCATATATTTTATTTTATTCATTTAAAGATTAAGTATCCTTAGAAGGAGTCCACAAGTTTTGTCAGATTGCCAAAAAGTTAAGTATCTCTGGTTTAGAATTTTATCATGAAATCATTTCTGTGAATAGTTTAGCATCTGTGGCAGTGGTACTGATTTTTAAAACAGACAGACCAGACCTCCCCACCATGAATCATTATTGTTTCTTTTAAGTAGTGACCTCGAGAGGTACTTGTTTCCAAAAATGCTCTATCTGCCTAGAAAATCTTTGAAATTCTTCTTTAGTAATTGTCTTCAGGGTTTCATTTCTCATGCTTAAAATTAGGGCTTTGGACTATATGATTGCTAATGTCTCTTTTAGCTCGAACATTCTACCCTACATTCTGAAAGTTTGACCATCTCTGGGATTCTATGTTGTATATTCTAATGTCTCTTCCAGCTCTGTTGTTCTATATTCTAAGGCTTGCACCTTTAGCATTCTATAGCCTCTATCCTAAGATCTCTTCCATTTCTTACATTCTTTGGTCTATGTTCTAAGGTGACTTTTAGCTATGACATTCTATAGTCTATGTTCTGGGCATCTTTCCAACTCTAATAGTCTATGGTGCATGTTCTGAAAGCCCTTCTGGCTCTGATATTGTGAGTCCCTGTCTGGTTCCAACATTCTTTGTTCTCTATTGTAAATTCTAAGATTTCATCCAGCTGTGATACCCCTGTACTATATTCTAAAGTCCTGTTTACCTCTAACTTTCTGTATTCCATTTCCTAAGGTTTCTTCCAGCTCTGAGGGTAGACTTGATTTTGGGAAAGAAAAAAAATAGTCAAAAACCCCTCTGGAGCCAAGACTGGTACGTAAGATGAGTCAAGCTGTATAAGAATCTTTACTCCAAAACATATTTTAGGTATCAAGTAATGAGGATGCTGTTTCTGAGTGGCTGTGAAACTGGTTCTGAAGGTCATTCCCAGAGAAACATCCTAGAAGTCTTTAGTGCAATGACAACATTCTTGGAGAAGGGACTAAGTGTGTCACTTGCCAAGGTGATACTTTGAAAGGCTTAACAACCACAGGGATAGATAAATTTAGGAATATATATGTGCATGTGTGCATGGTTGCTTTAAAGTTTCATCACTTTATAGTCACATCATATTTTCCACAGCTCCAAAACAATGGGAAAACTTTAATTCATTATTAGTTCACATATCTCTCTACAGAAATTTAACACCAATAAAACTTCCTTATCTACAACAAAGAGATAAGTAGGCAAAGTGGATACTTAGCTGTTCTATATGGATGCTTAACTAAAAATGGAATACTAAAGTCAGTTATGTTGTCCAAAATGACCTTGGCTGAATAATGGAACGAAAACACAAGAATACGTCTTGTGCATACAAGCAAGTCTGGATTCCTTTCCAATTTAACTCTATGAAATACAAAAATGTGTTCCAAGTCAAATACTAGAAAATATCTCTTTCCAATCCCCATCTACTCTGTGCTATTTTCTCAGTGGATGATGGGAAACATTTCCATGGAGGTCATGAACTCTGAAATTCAAACACATTCACTGCTGTTCATTTTCCCAGGAGTTAAGAAGAAAAGAGACTAGAAGAGGGAAAATAGATATTTAGTTATGCAAGGGATTCGGAAGCTCCTTTCACCATCTTCTCCCTCCGTCTCTAGACACAACAACCAGCCTCCACATTTTAAGCCCACTGAAGAAAAGGAGAACATAGATAAATAATAGAGACCTTGTTTCAGTCACCAGTTTCAAACTCTGCAAGTATTTTGTGGTAATTTTCACCCTCTCACCTTCTTTCCTCTGATGACCTAATGGTGAAAAAGACAAGAGACAGAGGAGAAACAACTATTGTGGCTCCCTATTCCCTACTGCAGCAGGAAAATCCTTGGTTCTGTTCTTGGCTCTGATGCTACCTCAATAAGTAAGACCTTGGCCAACTCACTTCACTTATGGCCTCAGGGGGCTTGATTTCATCATCTTTGATCTACTAAGTTTATTCAGCTTTGAGGTTGAGTTCAATGTTCTAAGACTGGTTTCAGCTTGAACATTCTAGAGTCAGGCTTGTTATAAATTCCTTTCTTGGAATTCAAAGTCCTCTCTAATTTGACCCCTCCCTCCTCATTTTCCAATTCTCCCCAACAGGAATCCTTCATTCTCATTAGGCAAATGGCCCCATTGCTCACTGCATCCTGCCTCAGTCTCTCTCCCCACTTCCAAAACTTTGCTAATAGTGGTCTCCTCATTTAGAATACCCTTCTAACTTGCCTTTTCTGGTTCATCACCTATATATCCTTTAAATCTCACCTCAAGCATAATGTATTCCATAATGATTCTAGTCCACATTGTTCTTCCCTTCTCAGATAATCCACTTATGTTAACTAACCTCAGCACACAATATTCTACTTATTTGTATAATATCAAGTAATGAGGGAGTAAGGGAGTCTCACAAGTATTAGATCTGGAGTCAGAAAACCTGGCTTTTCAGATCTGCTATTTCCTAATGTGGCCTTGGGCAGGTCACTTTGCTTCTTAAGGGCCTTATTTTCTGTTCTAAAATTGAATAATTAACCTTAATGGTCCCCAGGCTCACTCTCAACTCTATTTTTTTTCCTTATGACTAGTGTACAAACCATTGAAAAATGTCAACCTAGCTAAGTGCTATAAGCAATGAGCATTTCTTTTCCAGTCACAGCTATTCATTGGGACCATCTACAAAGGCATGGAGAACTTGGCATTTGCACTAATGGAAGAAGCATCTATACTTAGAAATCACAGATGATGGAAGGAGGACAATCTATACTGCTTTTTATTTATTCAGCGGGATCTCTTGAATGTTCATTTCTCACCTTCAGTTAGATGGCATATACCTTAAGGACAGATGCTATATCCTTCATGGCACCTAGTGCAGTGACTAGTATTAGAAGGCCTTGTATTATTGGATATGGTTTCTTGTGTGTTCATTTTCACCTTCAGTTAGAGAAAATGTTCCTTGAGGCAAGGACTAAATGCTTGATAGAGCCTAGTACAGAGCTGAGCACATAGTAGAACAGCTGGTGGAAAGAAATCTGATACAAGCTTATGAATACAGATGTGGGTAATTGAGAGCTATGTATTCAGTCAAACTGAAAGGCTAATGGATAAAGCAATAGTCCTTTGGGGCCTTATTTTATTTCTCTTATGGCCTCAGACATTCTCTGACTTTTGAACTTGAAAATCCCATTTCAGGTAGAAAGAGGCAACTTATTATGGCAGAAAGAACATTGGACTGAGAGACAGGGGATCTAGATTCTGATCCATACAGTACCTGTGTCCCTGGAACAAATCATTTTCCTTTTCTGGGTCTCAGTTTCCTCATCTGTAAAATGTGAAAGATTGGGCTAAATTATCTTGAAGGTCTTATGGTAATTGTAGGTTATATCCTTATGAACATATATAACTGCAGGTTGTATCCTAGAATGTTAGCACCTTTCAAAGAAAACATGTCACTTTCATTGCTTGCCTTACTCGTAAGTTCTGGAGACTTACTTGGACTTGTAATCAGTTATTGTTTTCATGGATGAGATGATTCTCCTGAAACTGCAAAAGGCATTTGAGTTAATATATTAGAACTACAGTTTAAGGTTAAAGACACTTGGAGGTTTATAAGAGTAATATGGAAATGTGCTGGACCAACACATCTTCCATTTTGACAAGCGATTTTGGTTGAAACTGTCAAGGACAATTACTACTTTGGCCAGGCAATGATCTGACCCTTCAGAGAAGTGATCCCTTATGGTTAGCAGCTGTAATATATAGTACTGCTTCATTTAACTTTAAATATCATAAGAATATAGATTGGGTTCAAAGAACTAGTCATGACTTTCAGATAAGAAGCAAGGATGAAGAGGCAAGTTATCACCCATTTGTTCTACATGGACAAATGGAAGTCATAGATACACTATAAAACATATTCTTGACAACTATTTAAAATGGCCAAGAGCTTCAGAGATTTTCTGTAGTCTAGTATAATAATAAGAGCACTGGATATGAGTTGGAGGATCTGTGTTCAATGATGACAACATAAGATTTTATGATTGTTTCAGATGAGAGATGTGCATAATTCTCCCTTCCCCACAGAGCAATGAAAGTTCACTCTCATTGCGTGTGTCCATGCCATGTTAAAGCTCTGGGAATAGACTAGAGATAGAACAAAAACAGATTAACTCTAATCCCCCTGTTGTCTTCCCTAGGGTTGACAAGTTAACAAGTCTCTGGACTCATTATCACATTTGTCCTGGATTATTACCTCCTACTTTATCTCCCTGCCCCTGGTCTTCCCCTTTTCCAATCCATCCTCCACATGGCTACCAAAGTAATATCCCCAGAATGTCTCATCACATCTCTTCCTTGTTGAAAGAGCTCCAATGATTCCCGGGTGCCTCTAGGATCAAGCACAAATCCCTATGTTTGTCATTTAAAGCCTTTCACAATTTGGCTCCAGTTAATTTTCCAGATTCCATCCCTTCATGTTAACAAACTGACCTACTTGCTGTCCCTTACACTTAAGATTCCATCCCCTACCTCCATACCTTTTATACCAGCTCTCTTGGAATGCATACTATCATCCCCTCCCCCACCTCTTAAAATACCCAGCTTCCTTCAAAGCTCAGCTCAATCACATGAGGCCTTTCATGAATGTAATAGCTACCAGTGTCTCCTCCTGGAAAGTACTTTGTATTTACTCTGTATATATAGGATCATAAATTTATAGATCTGGAAGGGACCTATATGTAGTCCAACCTCTCTTTTTACGTATGAGGAAACTAAGGCCGATAGAGG